GGCTTCCATGCACATGCCGTGCCACCCATAGCGATTGCAGTGATAAGCCGGTCATGTCGAGAACGCGAGGCGCCCATTTCGTCAGCATATGATCCGAGCGCACAACGAGACTTCCGGAAAGGCGGCACCTTCGGGGAGGCCTCCATCCACGGCAGCCCGCGGCAGTGGCGACAGGCAGCGATCAGTGAGTGCACTAGTGTTAAGATATTATGACTTAGTTTAAGCGCATACAAGGGCAACTAGCAGTAAACCGCATGTATGGGTAAACATCGAATACAGAAACAATCATGAGCTAAGACATTTGTTAGCTAATTCGTTATTGTCTATGGGAAGAGCTTACATTGGCGCCCAACTGAAAAACCCCCTTAGAAATTTGTGAACCGTTTGTGGCTGAAGTTTTTTTTTAGTTCTTGTTTGTCTAGTATTTTGGCTTATTTTGAAGACCTTTATTCAATCATGGAGATTGATCCTTTGCATTTGAGCGAAGAAGAGCTTAATTTTGAGTTGGCTTTAAGACACATTACTAATCTTGGCCTTACTACTCGCAGGGTGAAGTGCATCCGACTTAGGGATGCAATGACTGAGGACATCACGCTTCAAAAAAGCTACGAATCCTCAAGCCATGTGTTGGATGATAGCACTAACTAGAAACTTGTCAATCTCGAATCAAATTGCTTCTTCCAGCTATTGATTCTGCTAAGAAGAAGGAAGACATAGGCTTTCTCGAACATGTCACCTCACGTTTACGACATTATCTCTACCGACTGGTGCGTATTGAGACACCGCCGGAACATCTCCGGGATACTTGGTCCACTTTGAAAGTTTTGATATCATCAACATTGGATGGTGTCATGTACTCGTTGAATAAACCTCCTGTCAATTCAGTGAATGAAGGCCCGGTGCCCATTACAGTGACAAATAACAGAATAAACACTAGTGATTATAATGCAACTGCAAACCAGAGACGAAGCGAAGAGTTACACAACAATGGAAACCAGGAAGGAGCATGGGGAGACAGACACACAAGCCATCAAGGACCGCTAGGAATGTGGGAAGGAGCTCATCATGCAAATTCATCCAGCACGCCAAACGCATCGCTTAGGGAGGAAAATAGAGGTTCTTCACTGGACATAGGTGGCCTTCCAATTACTTCATCACCTACAACAAAAGGAAGAGGAAGAGGTTTTATCGGGAAACCATCCTACAGTCAGAATCGCTACACCTTACCACTGATACAAGATCAAGGCTACCGGGATAGCAGAAATGTTCCACCACGCGTTCCTCCTCCGCTGTATCGTTCAACGGACAACTCTTCGCGCAATGAGGATCAGTCGTTGGAATACAACCGTTTGAGGGATGAGCTGCTCAATCATCTTCTACGTCGGGAGCGGGTTCAAACTGAAGGAACAAGAAATCCGAATGCTATCCATAATTGGCCGGTTAAGTTTAGAGGCGAGAAAGACACAACAACTCTAAATAGCTTCCTGGATCGCGTGGAGTGCTTCGCGCAATCAGAAGGTGTTGCAGATGATATGCTACTAAAATCAATCAAACACCTGCTACAAGATGACGCAATCGACTGGTACGGACGAGCGTTCAACGAAGGATCACTGCTAACATGGACGGACTTCAAGAATCAAATTCGACAGGAATTCCTGCCAAGCAGCTACGCACAGATGCTAAGAATGGAAGCAAGTTTCCGGTTCCAAGGGGTGTCGGAGTCGTTCGCCAAGTTCTATCGAGATATATCTGCACTGTTCAGATTTGTAGATCCACCAATATCAGAAGAAGAGCGCTTCTTCATAGTCAAAAAGAATATGAATACGGAATATGCATCCATCGTTGCAGCCGCTCGGCCGAGATCTTTACGAGAGATGGTGGAAGTATGTAATGGATTTGACGAAACCAGGATGCTGCTCAGTCGTCAGCGAAGAATGCCGATTCCACAGAATGCTCTTTTAGAACCACACTATGCTACCCCTCAATCAGCCCAGAAAGCAGCAGCGCCGCTAAGATTTGGAAGAGTGCATGCGATCGAAAACTTTCAGGAGAACATGGTACAAATCACCAATCAGGAGCTTCGTAGTACTGGGGCACAAGGAAAAGATGAAAAAAGCTATGAACGACAGCTAGATGAGTTGGTACATCAAATCAATGCTCTGAAGGCTCGTTTCGATCGAAAGGACCAAATTCGCCGTCCAGGAGCACAATTATCCCGCGCACAAGCAAACTATCCAGACGCTGCCTCTTACCAGGGACATGAACAGGGTCAGACCCAACAACGGATGCAACAGCAACCTTCAGCTGAAGATCGTCAAGAAGCAGGAGATCAGCCACGGGTTTTGTCATGCTGGAACTGCGATGAAAAAGGGCATAGATTTATGGATTGTCCCAAACCCCAAGCTATGTTTTTCTGTTACCGTTGTGCACGGAAGGGTTATTCCCTGCGAAACTGTCCAACCTGTGCCTCCAACCAGGAAAACGAACAAGCGAGGAACCACTAGTAACAGAGGGATCCGCCTCCTCGCTATACATCGATAATCCCTCAGATTTACCCGAGCTTAGTCAAACATACTCGACCATCATTAACATCGAAGGTGACAACAGACCTCATGCGGCAATCACGGTTCTTGGTAAGCGGCTCACAGGATTACTGGACAGCGGTGCAAACTGCTCTCTTATGGGAGGAACGCAGTTGAGGATCGTCGAAGAATTACAATTGAGGAAAGGAACGGTGAAAGGAGGTGTGCAGACAGCAGATGGAACGAAACATGACATCACAGAATTTGTCAACTTACCGATTGCGTACAATGGACGAAACGAAACACTACCGATGTTGCTGGTACCATCTATGCCAAGTTGCGTAATTTTTGGGATGAATTTTTGGGAAAAATTTGGCGTCAAAGCAGTATGCAGCGCGTTGGAGTCAACTTTAGCCGAAGAAGAAGATCAACAAAATCAAGAACCAATGAGACCACTGACGATAGATCAGCAAAGGAGCTTGAACGATGTCATCGCCTTGTTTCCAACCAGCAGAGACGGCAAAATAGGTCGGACCAGCTTGTACACTCACCGGATTGAGGTTGGAGATGCTAAGCCAAAGAAGCAGAGATTCTACCATGTTTCAAAATATGTGCTAGATGAAATGAACAAGGAAGTACACCGCATGATAGCTCTAGACGTAATCGAGGAAGCCATGTTTTCACCTTTGAACAACCCACTTGTCGCCGTGAAGAAGAAAACGGGTCAATACAGAGTCTGCCTGGACGCGCGGTACCTCAACTCAATCATGATAAACGAAGGCCACCCGATACCACAAATATCTGCCATAATCAGCAACCTCAGCGGGTGCTCCTAAATATCTTCAATCGACTTGAAGGACGCGTTTTTGCTCTAAAACCGCACTTTTCCCCCCCGCGACCTCCTCGCCTATATAGTGACAAAGCTGTATCACCATTTGTATACCCACCATGCTCCAGATAGCGTCAAAAAGCACAGTGAAGGATACATTTATTCTTACAAACAGGCCGCCATTACCGAGCATGGAAAGCTGGATGGCCATCGAGTTAATACTTAATTCTAGTTAATTCTGGCCTATTCTGCGGGGCGTGGTTCGTTTGGACTTCCCTGTAACTATGGACATCTCTTAAAAACCATGTGTACTTTTTGTAGAGGTTCATCCCCCCAGAAGGCATAAGGACAAAGAGAGTCTTGTCAATTATACAATCTCTTATTATGATTGGGGACAATTTCGCTGGAAAATGGCACTAACAAAAAATTCCTTTCCCCCATTACTTTGAAGTAAACGAAGAAGTAAACCTTAGCAACGATTGGCAAAATGTCAACACAAAACAGTGATGCCATTTTATATTATATTTTGTGTCATACTTGTCATCGTGTGCCATGACGTGCCGATCAGTGTGCCACGATGTGTTTCGGCACCATGTGCAGAGTTGATTACCGCTTGGGTAATATTAAGTTTTCATTATTAAAGATCCAAATTACATTGGTTTTGTCCCGGCCAGGGGCTTCTTTTGCTTGCTAGGGATTGATGATCTTCGAAGTTTTTCGTGATGTGGTGGTGTGATTTCAAGACCAAAGAAGTTGGAATTCGACCTAATATAATGAGAAGATTATTTTAGCTCATGAAAATTAATACTCAACCTCTCCAAATCGATTTAATAGGCTTCTTGTTTTGTGGAATTAGTTTCTGTCATGAGGAAACTCAACATTACTAATTATTTATAATTGAGGTGTACAGTGACCAGCAAAATTAAATTTACAAGCTTCCATCTCCGGGAAAATTTTTCGCTAGAAAAAGTCAGAGTAATGGTCAACTGCCACTAGAAACTTCCGTTGTTTCCCCTGATACTCTTACAAAAAGACAGTTGAAAATTGTGATCAGAAACGGGTTAATTTTTCATCGCCTGGTGTTGTTGTGATGATCCACATTTAGCACAAATGGAACACAATAGTCACAATAGATTAGTTTTGGCCAACTTCATAGTTGATTCTATTCCGACACTTACATGAGCGATCGTCGAAGGGATGCAAGAATTCCTTCATCTCTTTTTTTGTCATGCTGCTTAGAATTGTTTAGAATCCTCTATTTGGGATGACTGTAGTCCGCGCTGAGATTGTACGGAATCCATTCTAGGATTGTTTGGGATCCTCCCTGGACTGTCATGAATGCCCCTCAATTTTTACTGAAATCGTCCTTTTGACTGTCCAGAATCCCTGATGGGTTTGCCCGAAGTCCGATTAAAGATAAATTTCATGCCGGGAGCGCACAGGTAGTCCCCTAGTCTCCGCCCCAAAATAATGCGAATGAAAGTGTTCCCGTATTCTTTAGATTCTAAACTATTATGGAAGACCCGCTACAGTGATCTAACCCCTTAAGTATCTCTCCATAGTGTTCGTGATGCATACCAATTACAATTGTTATTAGCGTTTGAAACATTATTAACCGCCACCCTTTTACTGATCCCAATGCATCTTACCTAAACTCCCAGTAACTCCTCGGCGCAGTACGTATGGCTTTGAATTATCCCTACAAACACACAAACTTCTCCCGCAAACCTACTGGAACGGTTTACGCATCGCATCCCACAGGTAGTCCTGCACTTCCTGCGAGTTGGGATCCATCGTGTTAACCTTGCTGTCCTTTCGTTGACGTTGTTTCGAATACTGTTGTTGCTGCTGCTGCGGATGCTGCTGATGCTGCTGTTGCTGCTGCTGCTGGTGCTGCTGATGCTGCTGCGTTGTATACACCTGCATCTGTTCGGTCTTCAATCCCTCGTTGTGCATCATCGGGAGCCGCCCTTTGGCCATGTTGAAATTCTCCGTATAGTTGAGCTTGTTTCTCCGCCGCTGTCGCCAGCGGCAAACGACGAAGATCACCGCGAACACCACCAGCGAAACGCCCACGATGCAGGAACTCGCCACGATCGCCGATTTGACGCCGAGTGGCATCGAGGTGCTCTCGATGGTTACCGTGTGCCGGTGGTTGAACCCATGGCCGGTCAGTTCCAGATCGAGCAAATCACTGCTGCTGGTTTGATCGTGGCTGCTGTCGAACTCGGCATCGGCGGACATTCGCGAAGGGGTTATCAGCCCACCCTTCGATCCGCCGTTACCTAAAAAATGAATCCCATCCATTTTGTGATTTGCTGGGTGTTGCTGCTGCTGCTGTTGAGGCGAATGCTGCAGCTTCCAGTCGAGGAATTTGTGATCCCCTCGGTGATGCTGCATCGCTCGACCTTCCTTGTAGGCTTCGTCCGTCGGGCGCATGCTGATGATGGAAGTGAAGTAGCTAAAGCCCTGCGAATCCAGTTTGATGTCGTCCGGTTGAATGCTCCGCAGGTTACCAAGATTGAACCTTGGGAAGTGTTCAAATGCCGTTACGATGTCCATCTTGTCCTCGATCGGTTTTGACTTGCCGTTGATCATTTCCGACAGATGTAGCTGGCTGGAGCCACGTTTGCGATGCTCGAGCAGCTCGTCCAAGGTCATGTTTCGTTGGGATAGGACCTTGGCCAGGCGGGCACCGATACGGCGATCTTCCATCAATTCTAAGATCTCATTCCGATCGTCGGACAGAGCGATCGGACCGAGATCGTTGAACAGCGATGGATTGCTCTCGGTTACGTCTCGGAAGTAGTCCTCAAGGCTGTCGGTGAACGAACGCTGGGTGTTTTGGTTGATTCGTTCGATGAGATCGTCCTCACTTAGCTCGGTGGTTGACAGTTCGGACGCTAAGCTGGATTGCGGATCGAAGGCGTTCTTGGTGTCTTCGAAGGAGGTAAACTTTTCGATGATGTTCAGTTCCGGTTCCTCGCTTTCGAGCAGTTTGGTGACGTTCTCGGATTCATCGTGGAATTCTATGTCGGCGAGGCTATGATTTTCCGTCGACTGCGGTTGCACTGTTAACGGTGCAGGGGACGCGAGTCTTATTTTGGGTTTTATAGCAAGGCGATTCCGGGAAGACGGGATTCGCATTAGAGATCGCTCAGAGGAAGCCGGAACGGGTGGTTCCGTATCGGGAAGTGCTGGTTCGGTATGTTCTTCTAGGGTGTCACTATCGAGGTCGGTGGATGCGATCACTGAAGGTCGTTGACGGAATTTGTTCTGTTGAAGTTTGTGGAAGTATTTTTCGTGAAGCGATGCTGAGGGAGTCCATTTTTCGCGAGATGTAGTGTTCGGGATGGCGGTGCTGGTCGTGGTGGTAGACAAGTGCCAGGGTTCAGCAGTAGCGTAGGGCCTAAGTGATTCCAAGCGTCTTTTGGAAGCAGAGAAGACTTCTTCCGTTCGGATTTTGGAGTTACTCAAGTCTGGACGAATACGGGAGGCTACACCCTTGATGGGTCGTAGTCGTTCTTCTTTGACGGTTGGAAGCACCGGATTGAGGGCTAGCTGTTTGATCTCGACGGTTGGAAAGATGGCAACGTTGTCGTTGTGGTTTCCAAGGTTGTCGAGGGTTATGATGTCTTCGACGGAGTTGGTTTCATCCTGCGCCGTTGGTGGAAGCTCTGTCGGTGTCGTTGTGGTTGATGTGGTAGTTGTTGGTGGTTCCGTTGCTATAATCGGAACTGCAGATGGGGAATATACCGGAATTCTCTTCATGGATTTTATATCATGGAAGTCGGTTCGCTGAGTGGAGTCCTCCTGTACTCGGAATCTGACACTGGATAGCGTTGGTATCGTGGAGGTTACTTCGTTGTCTTGTTCCGTGACTGTAGTGACATCTAGGGGGCTTTGCGTCAACGCAGCCAGAGCCATTTGCTTGCCCTTGATCAAATCCTGTAGTGAGATATTGCGCTGTTGAAGAATCTCGCTTAGACTCAGTCCACCGGATTGCTTGAGTAGAGCTTTCAGGTCTGCGGCACTGGCCTTGCCTTGCTCACCGGACGATCCACCTTCTTCTTCGTTTCGTTTGGCCTGTGAGTACGGTTTTCGGTAGGCTTTGTGACCGGAACCGGGAGTCGGATGCTCCTCCGGTCTGGGAAGTCTTCTTTGCCTATTGCCGTCAATAGGTTGAAAATTCTCTCGGTTGCCTCTGTTGAACGCTTCGTACGGTCGTCGGATGGAAGGTGGATCACTACTAAAGGGAGAATGTGGATCTATGGCATCGCTGTAGGGATTCGACCACCGATCGGCAGGACGTTGACGGTCCCAGCGGGGGTAGTTTCGCTTCCTCTCCGGTTCCGGATCTCGGTAGGTGGGTTCGGGTTCTGTTTCGTCTCGAGGGCCACCTTGTTGCCAGTAGTCGTCGTGCAGAGGTCTACGCTTTCGTTTCCTACCCAATCGACGACGTTTTCGTCCTTCGAAGCCTTCGGCTGGTACCGTGGAAACGATTTCTTCTTCCGCCAGTGGTTGCGATGAGAGGTCCTGCGATGCAATCGTAGTCAACGGGTGAGTCTGAAAGGAAATGGAAAAGAATGCCTCAATTAGGATCTTCTCGTTAGGTGAAGAATTCAATTGGCAGGTAATTATCGCGATGGGATTGAAGTGATTCATTTCGGTTCACTTGTCTAATCGAGATGCATTTTTCTCTCTCTCTCTCGCTAGCGGAGATGGGGTTGCATTTTCCGCATGAAGTATTTCGCTTCTCTGTTATTGAAGCAGCTGGGTGCTGCAAAGCACATCTCTTCTTTTCGCCAGAGTTTATGATGCAGCTAGTCAGTCATTTAGTCAATGGTAGGTATTAGGTGTGCATCCAGCTGCAAAGCGAAAGGAAATTGTAATGTTGCTGTAGATGTTGGAATGGAATGGGAAATTTCTCCACCCGTCGCCCGGCACTCTTCTCTGGCTGTTGCATGATGTGTTTTGGATGGCATGGTATGATGAGAATGAAAATGAAACCGTTGGCCTAGATTTTCCCGACGCGGATGTTGATGCGTACGGTTGAATGTTGGCACTCTTGTTAAGCTGATGGCGCGAGAATTTGAAGGATTTTGCGTGCTTTGTTGAGTATTTACTGCATGGTAGCTTGAAGGGTTACGGTTGAAATTCCAGAGCTTTCATAAACGAGATGGATAGCACTTTCTTGTACGCCAAGTGTACTTTAAGAATATGGGGATCAAGTTTCCATGAAGTGCGAATGGGACATTGAGAGTAGAGGTGGGCAAATTTAATTTTCTACCATTAAATGGGGCTAAACAGAACGAATTCTGTACAAGTTCGGAATAAATTTTCTCATTTTTGAATTTTACACAGAATTTTAAACTTTTACCGACCTTACTGACTGGATTAGTGTGTGAGGGAAGTTAACATGCTGAAAATATGGGAAACTTACTGGAGGCTTTAAGAACGTCAAATTGGATCTATTAGCATCCAAATAATGCAGGAACTTTTAAGAAGTTACTAGAACTTCAGAGAACTTCACCGGTGTCAAGAAAACTACAGAAATATAGAGAACTCGAGCAAAGTTCTGGAAACTTTTAAGAAGTTCTAAGTACCTAGAAGTAGCTAGAACTAGAGATCTTAAGGGCAGTTCCCGTAACTGTAGTTCAGAATTTTGGAGCAGGTTAAAGATCTATACTGCCGATACTCGCATAATTGTCCCATCTTTGCTTGATTTCCTATTCATATGGGACAGTTATGCTTTTATGGGCAGTATAAGTACAGTATAGTTACATGATGTGGTGGAAAAAATCGTCAACCCTTAAGATGTTCCGAGAATATCAGGAAAGTACATATACCTTCAAATAATTTATGGAATGTTCAGAAATATTTCAGGAACTTCTACAGAATTCCAGAGAAATTCAGGGAAATTTAAAGGTGTTTACGAGAATTCCATTAATTTCATAAAGTCATATCAGAGTTCAAATAATTTCAAGGAAATTTGCCGAAACCTTAAAGAAGTTTCAAGAAACTCCGGAAAATTCAGCAAAGCTCCGAGAGAATTTCTGGTTTTTAAATAGTTTCATGATATTGAGCGAAGTTCCGAGTACTTCGAGGACGATCAGATAGCTTTAGAATAATCCCATTAACTTAAAGAATTCCGTGGCATTCTGGGATATTCCAAGAATTCTATGATTGATCCGAAAACTTCAGAAGTTTCAGGGAATTATGAATGTATATATCAGAAAATTTTCCGGAACATTAAACAATTTGAAAAAAAAAAACTTCAGGGATGTCCAGATAACTTTTGGGGAAATTAGTGGTATAAACCACAGTTTCGTGAGCTTTTATAAAGCTTATAAAACTTAAGGAAAATTGTGGAAACTTCAAGGTAATTCAATTAATTTCGATAAAATTTCGGGCTCCTATAAAAAATATTGAGAAATTCAGGGTAGCTTATAGCACTTTAAGGAAATTCAGAAATCTTTTTAATGGTTTTAATAACATCAAGTTAGTCTAGACTATTGAAGAAGTCATGAATTAGTGTCGATAATCTAAGGGCAGTTCCATGAACTTCAGAAAAACCTTGAAAAATTTCAGTGAAAATCATAAAACTATATTAATTATTTCGTTTTGATTTCAAGAAAATTGTGGCAGCTTAAAGGTAAATTTCAGAAAAACTTCGAAAACTGCACAGAAGTGCAGAGATCTTCATAAACATTCGAGAACTTCATAGAAGTCTATGAAACTTAAGGGAAGATCCAAGAACTTCAAGAACTTTCATGAACATTATCAAAATGCGGAAGCATGTCAAAGGATTAAGCAAGTTCCAAAAATAAGAGGAATTTCAGCGTGAATTCATTTCCATTAGTTTTTAGAAAAATAGCGGGAAATTTTAATAAGTCCCCAGATTTTCAGAGAACTTCAGAGATGTTACGAAAATTATTGAGGTCTTCAAATAAGTTCAGAAGTTCACGGAAGCTTAAACATGTTTAGCACAGTTCAATTGAAGTCAGGGCAGTACCACAAGCTTCATGAGAACTGCAAACACTTTAGAGAAGTTTCACAGAGCAGTTCCAACTCAGAGCATTTCCGTTAACATTAGAGAAATAACATAAATTTTAAGAGAAGATCCATGATCGTAAGGAAAATTTACGAAACTTTTGCAAGTCCGAAAAAGTTCAGGGAAGTGTAAAAATCTGATGAGAAAAATTGTGAGCGTCAGGCTAGTTTCTCAAACGACACAAAAATTTCATTTTAGTTTCATTAACTTCAGGAAAATTTTGGGACCTTTCAAGTAGTTCTGCAGACCTCAGAATAGTCCATTCCATATTCAAAGGAGATTTCTCAAGAAAATGTACCTGGAAGTCTCCTCAGCATTGTATTCTCCCGAAACTCTCATGGTATTATTCTAGAAATTCCCTTAAAACGTTTCTATGAGTTCTCTAAAAAATATCATCAGAATATACCTAGAATACTTCTCGCAATTCCATTGAAATATTCCTCAAAATTTCGTTGAAACCATCATCCGAATTCATTTTTCTTTTTTCTTGGGAAAGATTCTCAGGATTTTCATTGAATTAATTTCAGATTTCCCTTTGAATCTCACTCATTTCCCTTGGAATTGTACTCGCATTGAATCAATCTTCTTATAATTAATTTCACAAATTTGTTAGATTTCTCCTCATAATTTGTTCGGCAAACTCTCCTGGAATTCTTTTCCAAATTCCTTTGAAGATCTCCTGCAGTTATTTGCAGATTTAATTGTAATCCTCCTTTTAGCCTGCTCCTCAACCCCTTAGTATTGTCCATAAATATCCAAGGACTTATGCCCCGGATTCGTTTCCTCCCACAAACTTTATGAAATTATCCTCAGAATGCCCTTGGAATTTTCCTCTGAAGCTCCCAGCAGTTCTGACACTCAGAAATTTCTGTGAGTATTCATTGAAATTTCCTTTAAATCCAATTCAGGGTTTTCTTGATATTCTAGTCAAAACTATCTCAGGCTTCACATGAAATCTAAAATTCCTCAGAATTACCTTGAAAGCATGTTGCACTGGATGTTTTACTCAAAGTTTTTTTTTTCCAGAACTCCCTAAGTTATTCAGGTGTATGGAATCCAAGGTGGCAGCTTAAGGCTAGTGAAAAAGTGTCAAATATCCCACAGTAACAGCTGAAGACAGTAACCTTCTATATGGCAAAGATCTCGAGATGCAGCTTATACACAAAGTTCATATGCACACAAGAGTCGCGTTGTGAGAGATTTCTGAACTAATATGGCCATCATCTACAGGGACTTTATCACCTAAACAACTTTACCGAAGACAGTAACCTTCTATATGGCATTATGGCAAGGATATCGAGGAACAGCTTGTTCAGGAAGTTCAAGTACACCCTAGCGCCGCGTATGGAGATATTTCTGAACTACTGTCCACCAACCATAACGTCTTGATCAACTGAACGACTTTACCCAAGACAGAAATAGTTGAGACAATTTGATGAATTTATTTTCTAATTAAGAGCCCCTCCTGTAAAATTTACTCTAGTGGATATGTACCATTTTCGCTCTAAACGGTTCAATTATAAAGGAATTCCAGGGAAATGTGCAGCAAAATTTGAAGGAATCTCAGGGAGCGTTTTATCGAAGACAACATATCAAGAAGACTGGTAACTTTCCCTGAATCCGAGCGACAGACACAGTAGCGCTGTGCTTGAGCGAAAGTGGAAGCAACGCATAGATATATGAGCAAATGCACAAACCTTTCTATCCAATTCATTCGGAGCATTTACCTTTGAGCGGCAGGTGACGCGATTGTGCCTGTCTCATGCCGGTCGTTTGAGAAAATGGAAGAGTTGCCAGTATTCATCATATGTTGTCTTCGATTTTATCGAGCATTTTATGGGAATTTTAAGAAGCAAAGTGAATTAACTTAACATAACTTAACGGGCATTGAGCAAAGTTCGCTACAACTATTTAACACTAAAACTAGGGTATACTCAGCTAAGAAAGGTTCCTTTCGATAAATTCTGATTTATTTCCTAAAACGAACCAGATAATCTCTTAAATGTTCATCAATCAATTGGTCAAACATATTTCTGAGGAGAACTTCAAGGAAATCTCGATAATAATTTCAAAAGAATTTAATTCCGAGGATAGCTCATTGCAGTGTTCACTCGGCTGTCGACAGAATCAGACAACGCGATCGTTTGTTTCCTCGGCAGCAACCATTGTGTGGTTCTCCTCATTGTTCTTCATCAGCAGTTCTTTCGGTCGGTGCGTCGTCGACTTTGGAAAGCAACCGTGTCGTGATGAGTGTGTAAGTGATGACCACGTTTTGCGTCCATTGCCGCAATGGAAGCGCTCTGCCCCCCGTTGGCGATACTGCCATACAATGAAACCAAAGGAAGCGGATCCCGTTCTGATTGGCTAGCGGAAGATGAAATGTTTATTGTGTTGTACCTTTTAACTATAGTTTTACGATGTTTTGTATAGTTAACAAGAATCCTCGGCTCTGTAAAGTTAATTCAAATGAGCCCTATCAAATAAATTAATAAAATAAAAGCTCCTTGCGGAA